GGAAAATACTTTGCTGTGCTCCCAAGCCATGCTGGCACAAGAAGAAATTCTCCCATGCTATCTCAGACCATTTTTGCCTAAATGTGCAACAGGTAATTCCTACCCACACCACACCAGGTTGGATAAAGGGGCTCTTGATGTCTTGCTGCCTCCCGGGGCTTTACTTGAACTGGGGTTCAGATGCCCCACTGTTCTAATTAGGGTTTCTATTGTTCTTCACTTCCCTGGTACTTGGCCTCAGACATCAGCCAAGGCACAGAGCCCATTCTCTGGGAATCACACCAATATCCAACCCTTTTGTAACTGCCCATCCCCTTTCCAGTCTAGCAAACTCGAATATTATCTCCATAGACAAGAAACAGTGGCTCTGACTGACTTTGCAGCTTGCAATTCTGAAGCACAGAAGCTAAGTACTGACTTCTTTGTTCTGTGTTCTGCTATAATTAATAGGCCCACTTTGATGGAACAGGTGCCTCTTGCCCTAGCTCTTTAAGAGGGTGGCGAGGAGGGAAGGGAGAGGGGTGAAAGGGTGGTTCTTGGATAACGAAGAGGTGGATTCATAGTGCAGTCTTAGTCTCAAACTCATATAGACTAGGAAAAGGACAACTATGAGAGTGGATGTTTGGAGAGGAAGCTCTTCAATTATGTGGAATTATTGATATTAGAAGAGTTGTGAAGTGTAAATAGCTCTACGTGAAAGGAAATGGGATTCGAGTTAAATCCAGGCTAGGAAAGAATTTTATCTGTTCAGGGAAGAGAGAGAAAAGTGCTAGTTAATTAGTTAGTTTTTAAATGTGTGTATAATTTTACTAACTGTAATTTTTCTTGAAGTAAGTTAAAATGTAAGTTTTTTAAATGCTATGAGAAATGGAATGTGCTGGGGCAGAAAATTCACTCATTTTTATAGCCTGTTCTCTTCTGGTCACATGGTGATAACAAAATTTAACTCAGGAAAAATTGAAAAAAAAACCCAGAGATCTCAACATCCTTTCCCCTTCTTATTGAAGACATTCAATCCTAAATCTCAGATGCTACCAAATATTATGGGATGGAGTTCACTTTCTCTTTTTCTTAAATGTATATTTTTGTATTGTTACTAAAGTAATACTTGTGTTCTTGCTAGACGATTGTATTTTTCAAATGACAATGTAAATTTTATTTTACACAGGAATGGGAAAAGAATTCAGACACCAGTCCATAAAAGCATTATAGTCTCCTGGTATAAGTACACAATCTGCTTAGCTCTATGGAGAATTTAAAGCTACAATTCCATAAAGGGAACAGTCTGAAACTGGCAACCTAGGCATGCTTGCCTGGGCCACACAGGCCAACCCCAGCCGTTACTGGGCACTCAGAAACTAGGGTGCCAGCTACTGATACCAGGGAGCAGCAAAGCAGTATACCGATATCTTTACTCAGGTTATCTATTTTGGCATTTGAAAGTTTATTTCATCCATCTTTGAAAGTACCATTTATGCAAGGTAATATGTGGCAAAATATGTTCTTATAAGTGATTTTTGCACAATAACGGCCACTTCTAATTTCATTCTCCTTTTTTCCTTCTGGTTATGGTTTATTACTGCTGCTAATACTGTCAGACTTTGTGCTTGACTTACATGTGAACCTGACTTAGCTGCTCTCCTGAAAGTCCCTGATGTGTTTCCTAGTATTGATAGATAGTGAGCACCTCAGGATACTTTCTTTTTTTAACTTTTTATTTTATATTGGAGTATAGTTGATTAATAATGTGGTGTGGTGTTAGTTTCATGTGTACCACAAAGTGATTCAGTTATACGTATACATGTATCTATTCTTTTTCAAATTCTTTTCCCCATTAGGTTGTTATAGAATACTGAGCGGAGTTCCCTGTGCTATACAGTAGGTCCTTGTTGGTTATCCATTTTAAACATAGCAGTGTGAACAAGTCGATCCCAAACTCCCTAACTATACCTCCCCGCACCCTTCCCACCCTGGTAAGCATAAGTTTGTTCTCTAAGTCTGTGAGTCTGTTTCTGTTTTGTAAATAAGTTTATTTGTATCATGTTTTTAGATTCTGCATACAAGCGATATCATACAATATTTCTGTTTCTCTGTTTGACTTACTTCACTCAGTATGACAATCTCTAGGTCCATCCATGTTGCTGCAAATGGCATTATTTCTTTTTTTTTTTTTGTGGTATGTGGGCCTCTCAGTGTTGTAGCCTCTCCCATTGTGGAGCACAGGCTCTGGACGTGCAGGCTCAACAGCCATGGCTCATGGGCCCAGCCACTCCGCAGCATGTGGGATCTTCCTGGACCGGGGCACGAACCCATGTCCCCTGCATCGGCAGGCGGTCTCTCAACCACTGCACCACCAGGGAAGCCCCTATTTCATTCTTTTTAATGGCTGAGGAATATTCCATTGTATATCTTCTTTATCATACCATATCTTCTTTATCCATTCTTCTGCTGATGGACATTTAGGTTGCTTCCATGTCTTAGCTATTGTAAACAGCCCTCCAATGAACACTGGGGTGCATGTATCCTCTCGGACCATATTTTTCTCCAGGTACATGCCCAGGAGTGGGATTGCTGGATCATATGGTAGCTCTATTTTTAGTTTCTTAAGGATCTTCCATACCGTTCTCCATAGTGGCTACACCAATTTACATTCCCACCAACGGTATAGAAGGGTTCTCAGGACGCTTTTTTTTTTTTTTAATAAATTTATTTTATTTATTTATTTTTGGTTGCATTGGGTCTTCATTGCTGTGTGTGGGCTTTCTCATTGCGGTGGCTTCTCTTGCCACGGAGCACAGGTTCTAGGCACATGGGCTCAGTAGTTGTGGCATGTAGGCTCTAGAACACAGGCTCAGTAGTTGCGGCACACGGGCTCAGTTGCTCGGCGACATGCGGGATCTTCCCAGATCAGGGCTCGAACCCGTGTCCCCTGCATTAGCAGGCAGATTCTTAACCACTGCACCACCAGGGAAGCCCCTCTCAGGATATTTTCAATGACAGCTAACTAAAGGGACTTTATTGCCTCCCATAAATAAAAGTCCAGACGAAGAACAAATTGTAGAGTGGTCCAATTAGGGCCTTTGCTCCAGTTCTCTGCAGTTGTCAACTCTGCGCTTCCGTATGTATGTGTCAGGTTTTTTTTGTTTTTTTGTTTTTTTGGTTTCTTGGGTTATTTTTTTTAGCTGATTCCCCTTATCATTGTAACAGAACTGCCATCAACAATTATGGCAACCTGCGTCCTCATTCACATCTGGCTGGAAAGTCTGGCTTTCCATTGCTGTCCATTAAAAGTAAGGAAGGGGGCTTCCCTGGTGGTGCAGTGGTTGAGAAGTCCGCCTGCCGATGCAGGGGACGCGGGTTCGTGCCCCGGTCCGGGAGGATCCCACATGCCGCGGAGCAGCTGGGCCCGTGAGCCATGGCCGCTGAGCCTGCGCGTCTGGAGCCTGTGCCCTGCAACGGGAGAGGCCACAAAAGTGAGAGGCCCGCGTACCACAAAAAAAAAAAAAAAAAAAAAAAGTAAGGAAGGACTTTCTCAGAAAATCTGCCCTGGTGTCTCATTAATTAGAACATGAGGCTCATTTCTATTCTTAACAAGTCACTGGTAAAGGCAATAGCAAGACCAACCACTTCTAGCCCATGAAATCATTACACAAATCTTATAAATGGAAGGAGAAAATCATCATTATCATCACCATCACTATAATCAGCATTTCAGATAGGTTTAGGAAATTAAACATATTGGTCATTTATGGACTTATTTTTTCTACTAGAGACCCCCACTCCTGCATCTTGACAGTTACACTCCAGGGACCTACTCCCTAAGCATGCAGCTTCAAGCAGGCTTTTTCTAAATTTCTTATATCCAAATCTTTCCTTCTCATGCCCCTCCTGCAAGCCTTCCCCATCAAGCCACATTCTCTCTCCTTGGGGGTCTTCTAAACAAAAGTAAATAAATATACTACATACTATTCATTCATTTAATTGCTATTTAATTAAACTCCTTGTTTTTACTGACATTCTCTCTCCTTGGGGGTCTTCTAAACAAAAGTAAATAAATATACTACATACTATTCATTCATTTAATTGCTATTTAATTAAACTCCTTGTTTTTACTGACCTTGATAGCTTTAAAGAATACAAGACAGGTATTTTGTAGAATGTTCTTAACTGGGATTTGTCTGATTTCTTTTTCATGATAAGACTGGGGTTGTCTATAGGTTATTGCCTACATATTGTCTTTTTTTAGTCCAGTGTCAATAACTAACATCTAAGGAAAGCATATGAGAAATCTGTATTATTGCTTTGCTCTTCTCATATAGAGAACTTTCCCACATGTCCTGTAAAAAATTGATTCATTTTACTACAAAACTCCGTTTGATCTAAACATCTTTCATGTTTTCATACAGCACAAAATTAGATCATAACAGCTTCAAATAACGTTCTCTTTTTGGATTTAAATAGTTTATGAAGGTAATTAAATAGTTAAATCAGGTATTTTGATGCAGATCAAAGACAACTGACCATTCATGGACTTCCTCTTTAAGCTTAATAGTTTGGCTTGCTTACCAATCACCAAAATATCTGACTGACACAGGATTTACAGGCATAGGTTTGATCACTAGCTTTGATATAAACCAATTAGTTCATATTTCTCCCTTACTGGTTTTCTTGGCACCATCAAAAAAGAATCGCCTTTTTGTTTACTTACCTCAGTCTGACAGAATTTTGTTCATTATGTTATTGCCTTTTTGGCATAAGCTTTCATGTATCATCTTCAATATTTTTAGCTTGTCTTCCTGAGAATATAATATCTGGTCTCAATACTGCAGCTCTTAATATATGGAGAATTGCTTTAATTTTCCATTAAGTTATTGACAATTTATAAAGCGTATATCTATAGAAAATGGTATTTTTGGGTCTCAGATGTCCAGTTAGAGATAATAGTACATTCAAGAAATAGCACAAAGAGCCACAAGATAAAAAGATAGCAAATGCGTTACCTATTTCCATTCCCACATCTGGCAGCTCGGGGTCAGCCCAAGTTTATCTTTGACCCACCCATTACTGATAACGCATTCCTTGTTCTCGTTCATCGTGCACAATGAAGCCATAGTAATTGCTTGGCTGCTCTTCCTATTCCAGACGTAATTCACAAACAACTAGAAAGGAGTAAAATAGCCATTAATTGTGAATCATCCTAGAAGACCCCCAGAAGCACAGTCAATGAACAGTCCTCTGAGTATCTATTGGTAGAGAGGCTTCTTTGTAATTCTGTCAAGAATTAAAAGTTAGGGAATTTAAGTTCAAGCCAGAATTAATCTAATTTCCATTTGAAAAGGCAAGATTGCAGCACTTAACTTCAGGCAATTTTGGCTTCTCTTCCATCTATCATTTCTCTTGACATTGGGTCTTAAGTTTTTGAGAGTGTGCTAAGGATACTTGGGGAGGAGGGGGGCATTGGGGCTGCTTAAATAAAGTATGATATAGGCATCAAAAACTACTGTAAAAAATGAGAAAGCTCTTTGTATACTAATTGGGAAAGATCGCCCATATACATTATTAAATGGAAAACTTGAGGTACAGAATAGTATTTTATATGCTTGAAATGGGCACAGAAATAAGAATATGTATTTATACTTATTATATCTTCATAAAGACACACTGAAAGTTTTCACAAGACATGAATAAAAATGGTTCTCTACTAAGGGCAGGAGACAAGTCAGGATGGAATCAAGACTTATCAATGTATCTTTTCATCTTGTTTTATGTATTGTTTTATTTAAAACTAGATGGTCTATTTAAAAGAAAATAAAATATTTAAATTCTCTCTTGATGCCACATACACTTCAAGCTCTTTATTTCTATGTCCCTATTTAATGCAAAATTTCATAAAATTATCTCCACTTTCTCACCTACCATTCACTCTTCAACCTATCTGAACCTGTCTTATTGCCTCCCCACCAGTACTCTTGCTGAAGTCATTAATGATATGTATTTTGCCAAACCCATGTAACAGTTTTCTTTCTAGCCCTGTCTTTCTAGATCAATCTGTATCATTCTACACTATTGACTATTACCTTGTTAGGTCTGTGACACTGTAGCACTCACTTACCTCTTACTTCTCTGATCACTCCGGTGTTTCCACTTCCATTTGAGCTCTAACTGTTGGTTCTCCTTATACGTTGGTCGTAGGCTCTCTGGGCTTGGTCTTGGGTCATCTTTCATTCTGCTACTAGAAGGTGTCCTTGAGCTCCTTAACATTTACATTTATGTGGCAATTCCAAAATTTTATCTGTAACTCAAGACCACCCACTGGGCTCTAGACTGGTGGGGACATGCACTCTTGGATTGTTCCCAGTACACATTCTCTCTCCTTGGGGGTCTTCTAAACAAAAGTAAATAAATATACTACATACTATTCATTCATTTAATTGCTATTTAATTAAACTCCTTGTTTTTACTGACATTCTCTCTCCTTGGGGGTCTTCTAAACAAAAGTAAATAAATATACTACATACTATTCATTCATTTAATTGCTATTTAATTAAACTCCTTGTTTTTACTGACCTTGATAGCTTTAAAGAATACAAGACAGGTATTTTGTAGAATGTTCTTAACTGGGATTTGTCTGATTTCTTTTTCATGATAAGACTGGGGTTGTCTATAGGTTATTGCCTACATATTGTCTTTTTTTAGTCCAGTGTCAATAACTAACATCTAAGGAAAGCATATGAGAAATCTGTATTATTGCTTTGCTCTTCTCATATAGAGAACTTTCCCACATGTCCTGTAAAAAATTGATTCATTTTACTACAAAACTCCGTTTGATCTAAACATCTTTCATGTTTTCATACAGCACAAAATTAGATCATAACAGCTTCAAATAACGTTCTCTTTTTGGATTTAAATAGTTTATGAAGGTAATTAAATAGTTAAATCAGGTATTTTGATGCAGATCAAAGACAACTGACCATTCATGGACTTCCTCTTTAAGCTTAATAGTTTGGCTTGCTTACCAATCACCAAAATATCTGACTGACACAGGATTTACAGGCATAGGTTTGATCACTAGCTTTGATATAAACCAATTAGTTCATATTTCTCCCTTACTGGTTTTCTTGGCACCATCAAAAAAGAATCGCCTTTTTGTTTACTTACCTCAGTCTGACAGAATTTTGTTCATTATGTTATTGCCTTTTTGGCATAAGCTTTCATGTATCATCTTCAATATTTTTAGCTTGTCTTCCTGAGAATATAATATCTGGTCTCAATACTGCAGCTCTTAATATATGGAGAATTGCTTTAATTTTCCATTAAGTTATTGACAATTTATAAAGCGTATATCTATAGAAAATGGTATTTTTGGGTCTCAGATGTCCAGTTAGAGATAATAGTACATTCAAGAAATAGCACAAAGAGCCACAAGATAAAAAGATAGCAAATGCGTTACCTATTTCCATTCCCACATCTGGCAGCTCGGGGTCAGCCCAAGTTTATCTTTGACCCACCCATTACTGATAACGCATTCCTTGTTCTCGTTCATCGTGCACAATGAAGCCATAGTAATTGCTTGGCTGCTCTTCCTATTCCAGACGTAATTCACAAACAACTAGAAAGGAGTAAAATAGCCATTAATTGTGAATCATCCTAGAAGACCCCCAGAAGCACAGTCAATGAACAGTCCTCTGAGTATCTATTGGTAGAGAGGCTTCTTTGTAATTCTGTCAAGAATTAAAAGTTAGGGAATTTAAGTTCAAGCCAGAATTAATCTAATTTCCATTTGAAAAGGCAAGATTGCAGCACTTAACTTCAGGCAATTTTGGCTTCTCTTCCATCTATCATTTCTCTTGACATTGGGTCTTAAGTTTTTGAGAGTGTGCTAAGGATACTTGGGGAGGAGGGGGGCATTGGGGCTGCTTAAATAAAGTATGATATAGGCATCAAAAACTACTGTAAAAAATGAGAAAGCTCTTTGTATACTAATTGGGAAAGATCTCCCATATACATTATTAAATGGAAAACTTGAGGTACAGAATAGTATTTTATATGCTTGAAATGGGCACAGAAATAAGAATATGTATTTATACTTATTATATCTTCATAAAGACACACTGAAAGTTTTCACAAGACATGAATAAAAATGGTTCTCTACTAAGGGCAGGAGACAAGTCAGGATGGAATCAAGACTTATCAATGTATCTTTTCATCTTGTTTTATGTATTGTTTTATTTAAAACTAGATGGTCTATTTAAAAGAAAATAAAATATTTAAATTCTCTCTTGATGCCACATACACTTCAAGCTCTTTATTTCTATGTCCCTATTTAATGCAAAATTTCATAAAATTATCTCCACTTTCTCACCTACCATTCACTCTTCAACCTATCTGAACCTGTCTTATTGCCTCCCCACCAGTACTCTTGCTGAAGTCATTAATGATATGTATTTTGCCAAACCCATGTAACAGTTTTCTTTCTAGCCCTGTCTTTCTAGATCAATCTGTATCATTCTACACTATTGACTATTACCTTGTTAGGTCTGTGACACTGTAGCACTCACTTACCTCTTACTTCTCTGATCACTCCGGTGTTTCCACTTCCATTTGAGCTCTAACTGTTGGTTCTCCTTATACGTTGGTCGTAGGCTCTCTGGGCTTGGTCTTGGGTCATCTTTCATTCTGCTACTAGAAGGTGTCCTTGAGCTCCTTAACATTTACATTTATGTGGCAATTCCAAAATTTTATCTGTAACTCAAGACCACCCACTGGGCTCTAGACTGGTGGGGACATGCACTCTTGGATTGTTCCCAGTACTGTGTTACTACAGACAACGCCCAAGTCAATGACCTTGTAAATATTTCTTTCTGCATACAGCCAGGTGCATCTGTTTGAATAAATTCCCAGAAATGAGATCACCAGACCAAAGATACATGTTTTAAAATGTTAATAGATATTGCTAAACTGATTTCTATGGGGTTATATAACTTTACACTTGCATTGGCAATATATGAGGGCCTGTTTCCTTATTCCCTTGCCAACTGTTGTGAAACTTTTGAATTTTGCCAATGTGATAAGTGAAAAATAGAAGCAAAGTGTATTTCCAGTACATGTTTCCCTTATTATGAATAAGGTTGAACATTTTTTACACACTTATTTTCTCTGAACTGCTTATGTTCATAACCTTTGTTTTTTTTGTTGTTTTTTGGTTTTTTTTTTTTTACTGTGTTACTTATCTTTTCTAAGAGATCTTTATTTAAGAGATTATCTCTTATCTGTGATACAAGTTGCAGATATTCCCCCAGTTTTTCATTTGTCATTTGATTTGGTGGTGTTTTTTTCCCAAGCAGAAATTTCTCTTTTTTTCTTTTCTTTTTTTTTTTCTTTCTCCACCTCCTCTTTCTCCTCCTTCTCTTCTTCTCTCTCTTTCATGTTTCCTCCCCACTCTCTCCCACCCCTTTCAGTCTCTTCTCTTTCCTGTCATTCCTTTTATATAGTCAAATATCTTTATCTTTCCATTTTGATTTGCAAATTTTGAGTTATAATTGGAAAGGCCTTTGCCTCTCCAGTGTTATAAAGGAATTGGTCCATATTTTCTTTCAGTGTTTCACATTTAAATATTTCAAGTGCTTAGAGGTTATCCTCATATACAGTGTGGGGCATGAATTTCTTTTCCAGATGGCAATCTTGTTGTTTCAAGAAGATTTATTTAAAATTTCATCTTTGTCCTATTGCTGTCATACTGTGTACTAAATTCTTGTCTTTGTTTCAAACTTTTGATCATTTTCCATTGGCCTACCTGTCTATTCATGAACCAGGGACACATTACTTTAATTGCTGAGAGGTGATAATATGTTTTATTTATTTATTTTTAAAATTAATTTATTTATTTTTGGCTGCATTGGGTTTTTGTTGCTGCATGCGGGCTTCTCATTGTGGTGGCTTCTCTTGTTGTGGAGCACGGGCTCTAAGTGTGTGGGCTTCAGTAGTTGTGGCTCACTGGCTTCAGTAGTTGTGGCTTGCTGGCTTCAGTAGTTGTGGCTCACGGGCTCTAGAGCACAGGCTCAGTAATTGTGGCACATGGGCTTAGTTGCTCCATGGCATGTGGGATCTTCCTGGACAAGGGATTGAACCCACGTCCCCTGCATTGGTAGGCAGATTCTTAACCACTGTGCCACCAGGGAAGCCCTTATAATATGTTTTAATATGAGATATGACTCATTAGCCCTCATGGCTCTTCTTTTTTCAAAATTATCTTAGATATTTTTCCACACATACTTTAAAATCACCTTGTCTAGTTCTAGAAAAGGGAAGACTTTTTAAACATGGAAAATAACAGAACATACTTATATACTGAGGAAAATAATCAAATAGAGAGGAGAGGTTAAATTCAGAGGAGAAAGGGAGATAATCAGGAAGAATTCTTAAGTGGGGCAGAGGAGATGAGTTCCGGAACATATATAATAAGAATGACTTTTGATAGTAAAAGGAACATTCATTTCATGGCTAGCAAAATGAAAGTAATTAGCATATAGACATACATTTTTTGAATGCTATGAAAATGATGGTGTTCCCATATGGTGACTTATGTATTCTCAATTAAGTGTGAGGGGAGCTATCAGCTGAATGGAGTGGGGTGGATGAGGAATGGAAGATTGGAAAAGAATGAGGAAGTATTATATGGTGAAGAAAACATGAGAAACAAATTGGTTTAATGAAGATTGGGATTGACTGATGACATGAATTAGAGAGAGAAGGCTGTGAGTCCTTTGATGAAGTTTTCAGAGGATGAGGTGGCTGTATCAAAACATGAGGATGTTATAGCAAGATTGCAGGGTCCTCACAGGACCAGGAATCATAATAGTCCAGAATGGACCATGAGGTATACAGAGCATAACCTCTGGACCACAACATTGGGGTATATGAGTATGTACAACCTCCACTTCAGTGGACCAAAGGGAAATGGTACCCTCCAGGGAAAGCCACATTTCCAATAAGGCAAATAGTTGGAAGGATGGGTTTGATAAGACATTGAGGGTTTATAGGGGATTTGGTATGCACAGATCTGGGTTCTAAGAGGGCCTAGAGGAAACTCTGGGCAGCAGGGAGAGTTAGAGAATGAAAATAAAGAAATGGAACACAATACATAGCCAGAGCTCAGAATCTTAGGGGAGTTGTTAAAATGCAAGTTCCCAGGACCTATATCCAACAGAATTTCTGATTCAGTAGAGTTGGGTAGCACCTGAGAATCTGAATATTAAAAGATGCAAAAATGATTGTTACTCACTCTGGCCTTGAGAACCATGTCTCTTGTTGGAGGCTGGGGACTGTGGCAATAAGAGCTTCCT